GAAAACATCATGATATTACAGAGAATATGAATAGATCTCCGTATCACTACCATCCCATCAAACTTAAGATGGTGTTTTAGAAATCAGCTTGAGTCTAAAAACTTTATAGCATAGAAGTCAATGACTGTTGCAACAGAAGAGGTCAAATTTCGAAACTGCATGGGAGGATAAAGTTTAATAAGGAAATGTGCAACCGGTGAATAAAAGAACCTCAAGAAGGGTCAAGAACTGGTTAAACAAAAGAAAACTTTGAAATAAAGTCAAAAACCAGTCAGTAAGAACAGAACTTTGTGACAAGTTTAAGAACCAGCTGATAAATAGATCCGTAGGAACAAGGTCAAAAATGGGTTCATAAAAGAAATATTGGAATCTAAATTATTTTCTCTCTCTTCTTTAATGGCAGTGGAGAAAGCCCGACGCTTCTTCCCCAACTGCACAATAGTTCTGGATAGGCTCTCGGAGGACGATACTATAGGTGCTATGTTATTGGAGAAGGGCACTCCAGAGGAACAGAGGATGAAAAGAATGCGCTACATGGAACTCAAGGAAGATGTAATGAAGGCATTCAGCAAAGACATGGCTGAAAATAACTGGACAAACTTATCCTCGTCTTCCTCATGCTTGTCTTCTCCAAGGACTGGTAAAATTCACAAAAGCAGAAAAAAAAAAAAGGTTATTAAGCAACCTTTTTAACCTTGAAACTTTGTTTCTTATAGGTTCCTTTCTCCCATCACTATGCTATATTGTGCTTTCTTATTTATCTCTTTGTTAAGTACCTAGTGACTGGAAGCATATAAACTTGTAGCTATTTCCTTGGAGCTCATAGTCCTGTAATATAATGTTTGGCATTGTGAATTTCGATTGGTGAGACTTGGAATAACAGTGGATTGATTGTGTAGCGATTTCAAATTCCTTTATTTTTGTGATATCTTATACTCTTGTCCAAAATACGACTAGTTCTTTGTTGTCCTCGGGTTTGTAATGTAAATGAACTTATCTTGGGAAAAATAATCCATCGAAGTGTCTTTTCGACCTTCTTGTGTCTTAAGTTGATTTATATTATATCAACTTATTTTTTAGCAGGTGTTTTGTCTCCAATTTAATACAGGGATCAAATTGATCGTGTGTTATGATTCCAATCTCAAAGTAAAAGAGATTTGTCTGCCAAACAAGGATCTTTCCATTCTTCCACCAAAGTTTTTGCATGGAATCTAGTTCTATTGTACACTTTTTCCCTATAGATCGCGCTTTCATACGCATATAGGTAATTTTTATGTAACAAAATTATTAGACGATAATATAGTTTTCCCTAATTTTTGCCTCACGGGAATTGGAAGTTCTTAAATGAGAAGTACTTGCAAAATTGACATGTTTTACATTGAATTGGACTCGACTCCGTGATCATATTAAGAAAAGATAGACGTGTTCAGCATATCAAACATACTACAAATTTGACAAATAACATTTGTAAGCCACTTCTAAGTTCACGATGATAGAATTGCTCAAATTGCTTAAGAAATTGAACTCGACCACGCACTGTCTCCCAGAACCCAAATTGAAGGGTTTCAGAGAAATTGTGCAACATTTCATTCGCTGGGTGAAAACGAAGAAAAGAAGAATGAGGGTACTGCAAATAAAATATGGCTTCAAAAATTATTAATAATTAATAAGAATTATGAAATTTGCAAGCATACTTGATGAACGACAGTCTGTCACACAGTAAGTGTCATATTTGTCAATAAATTAAAATACTTTCCAACATCTTTTATTTTTATTTTATGACGGGAGGAACCCACAGCCGCTACGTTTTCGGTGCGCACTGAGTAAACCCTCAAGTTGACGCAACAGTCTGCAAATCACGCCAGCCAAGTAAATCGTCCAGTGCTACAAGCTCGATCGAGAAAGTGTTGATAGAGAGAATTGAACTCGTGACCAAACGCTTCCGTACTCACCTGCTCCACCAACTCAGCCATCCCATGAGGGGTAAATACTTTCCAACTTTATTAGAGAATGTAGTAGTGCTATGTAGTCTGTAATCCATTGACATTGCTTATAAGCAGCATTACTTATAAAGATGCGACGGAGCGTAATGTGGCTTGGGAAACTTATTTATACATAACCAAGTTCAAAGTAGTAATGCTTTCTGCTCTCTTATTTATAAAATACACAAAAATTTTCCAATTTTTTCTTGTGTTACTTTAAATATGTCTTGCCTTAATCTTATTATCGGTTGTCAAATACTTTACCTCTACACTAAGCTTGAAGGGTGCCATAACATGTTGCCTGCGATGGGTGAGAAATTAGGAGACGTTATGGTCACATAGTGCTTGAAATCTACGAGTCTATGAGCTGTGAATTTCACTCTATATCGAGATCTAGTCTATACGACAATGGTTTTCCGAAACTTCTTATCCAAAATTGCACAAAAAGAGTAACAATTGTTTCATCCTAATAAATTTCAAATTCATACAGAACAAAGGTGATTAAGTAAAAGAGATACGTGATCTAATGAATCACACAATCTGATCAAATTACAAATATGAGATAGATCAACAAGTTGTTCCTTCAAATTTAACAATTATTTTTCTGCAATATTACCCTTTATTCGCGACTAACGTTGGGAAAAATGATATAACGATCATGTCCTATCTAATTTCTCTATTCACTAACCAAAGGACATATGTAATTGGTAATTTATTAATATGTTAAATGAGAAAAAGTTGTACCTTATATCAAGAAATTCTCGAAGGTCGAGGATCAATTCGCTTTATAAAAGATAGCGTTGAAATTTATGAATCAGTGATATTACTCTTTCAAGGATGTCAGTTATCAAATGTTATTTCATACACAAAGGCAAGAAAAGAAAAATCAACACATCGTGGAGAGACTACTAGCACAAAAGAATTATAGAATGTTCATAGAGAAATTTTAAAAAATAATAAAACTGTAAAATACAATGTCATGTAGATTCCCAAAAATTCTTTCTAAATCCTTGAACAAGCAAGGTTGCGTATTGTCTATATATCAAGAAATTTGATCAACCAACCGTAGAGTAGTGAACAGAGTATCATTCTATGAAGATTGTGTAAACCGTTTGTGGCTCACATGGTCAATGTAAAATTAAATACATTTTAAGTTTAAATTGTGGATTAATTAACTGGAAAGATAACTTCCCATTTGGTTAAAGAAGGGAAGTTATTGTAGGAGAAAACTACCCACTTTCATGATGGATGGGAGTTGTTTGGTGGTTGCCTATATATATGCCAAATGATCCCTAGCCAAACCCGTACAAAAATCCCTGCAAAATTTTCTCTCTAAAAATTGAAAGTCCTGTGTTTTACTTCTATCAAGTTAAAGGGTTATAAAGTGGGTATTGGCTGGAAGACCTTTGGTGCCTCAATGACTCGTTTCTATTGCAAATAATCAATTAAATCTTGAATAACATGGCTGAAGGTACGCATTTTAATTTCTTACATATTGTTGCATCTAGAGCATGAAATTTCATATCTTTTTAATCGTTACCCCCAATAGTATCGAGCTTTTTTCGTATGCTACAATATTTTTGTCACTAGGAATGTGTATCTAGAGTATGTTTGCGTGATCTTAAAAGTTAAAAGTCGACTCTTAATATGTCCAACCGTATTGGATTTCAAGGAATTAACACAACGTTAAAAATATTTTGTAAAATTTCATTCCATGAAAAAATTAAGTAATAATGAACATAATGGTGTTTTAAATAACAACCTTACTTAACGTAAAATAATAAAATCCTTCATATTAATAACACTAATGATAAAAGAAATTAACAATAAAAATATTATGCAAAAAACAGAAAAGATATCATTGGTTGTGTCCACCCAAATCCTTTATTCTGCGATTTATTTGTTTAATTATTTATAAGCAAAATGTATGATCACATTCTAAAAAATCTACGAAATAAGTGAACTATTGCATTCTCATATCACCTAAATTTATAAATTTCTCTACATGTCGAAGTTTGGCATCTATTGGTATTGTTGTTTGTTGATCCCAAAAAGTGTTGCCAACAGATGCCGGTTCCACCCGCGCACACGTGGGTGAATGTCCAACACGCTAAGACACGTGGACGGTCTAAAATGAGCGGTTCAAAAGGCGTGGGAGTAGCCCAACGACGCAGGACGGTGACGTTCGAAATCCGGCAGGTTGTTCGTGATCCGATTGTGCAATAATTACCAACCGGTGTTCGTAAATGTATATGTAAATGTGTATAAACTCAATTTGTGTATTGCAAGTAAATGAGAAAGAGTTGAGTAAAGTGTAGTTCTTTGTATTGATTCTTGCATTAACCTTTTAATGTTACACAAGGAAAGTAATTATAGTGGTACATGTAAAATGGGAGCCCTTGGATGAGGTGTCACGTGGCCTCATCTCTTTGATTTAAATATCTTATCAGGCCTGAGGTTTGACTTGCTAGCTTGTAGCGCATTTATTGCTTGTGCAGAGCCCCTATACTAGTGACAAGACTTTATGACAAACGTTCCATCAATCATTCGAATAAGATCTTTATGCAGACGATCTCTTGGGAGAAGTGAACATGGAGGACACTCCCTTGTGGTTCGGAGGCTCCTGCATCAGCTTCGGGGCTTCGGCCATTTCACACAATACTTCCGCTTGAGGGTTTCAGCTATCTTCAACTAGCTTCAGCATCATGGCTTCGGTTCATGGGCCTTGGCATGTGGACCTCGGGTACGTTCACAGGCCTCGGTAAAAAGGCGCCTCGGCTAGTGGACTTTGGCTTGAAGGGCTTCGGCCATTGCCCACCTCGGCAATATATGCCACCTCGGCTCTAGTGCCACGTGACTCGGCCTGAGTGGGCCATTGGCCCAGATGGATTGGCCAAGTATGACAACGCGCAACAATAGTCCCCCAAGTCCAAGTATGGATATTTATATCAGAGTTGGAATTAGAAATGTGTTGCCGTGGGTGAACGATGAAGAGACCGAGGCTGTGTTGATGTTGAAGATGACATTGAGGTGGTTGTAAAATCGAACCTGACTTGTTGGCTGAATGTTGAAGTTGAAGTCGAGGTGGTTGGGAAATCGAACCTGCGAGGTTTGTTGGCTGAATGTTGAAGTTGAGGTCGAGGTGGTTGGGAAACCGAACCTGCGAGACTTGTTGGTTGAATGTTGTAGTTGAAGCCGAGGTGGTTGGGAAACCGAACCTGCGAGGTTTGTTGGCTGAATGTTGTAGTTGAAGTCGAGGTGGTTGGAAAACCGAACCTGCGAGGCTTGTTGACTGAATGTTGTAGTTAAAGTCGAGGTGGTTGGAAAACCCAACCTGTGAAGCTTGTTGGCTGAATGTTGAAGTTGAAGCCGAGGTGGTTGGGAAACCAAACCTGCGGCCAAGGTGGTTGGGAAACCGAACCTGCGAGACTTGTTGGTTGAATGTTGTAGTTGAAGCTGAGGTGGTTGGGAAACCGAAGCTGCGAGGCTTGTTGGCTGAATGTTGAAGTTGAATCCGAGGTGGTTGGAAAACCGAACCTGCGAGGCTTGTTGGCTGAATGTTGTAGTTGAAGTCGAGATGGTTGGGAAACCGAACCTGCGAGGCTTGATGGCTGAATGTTGAAGAAGTCGAGGTTCAATGGTAATGATTGTGCCTCGATAGTTGTGCCAATGATTTGATGTTTTGTGCTTGTTTTCGAGGAAAAGTGGCTGAACTGTTACAACTTCCAAGGTGCCTACGGCTGTCGAATTAAAAACACAATTATGATGGTAGCTAGAGCTTCTAGAAGCAGACGCGTTAGATGGGGCGCGTGGGAGGCACGCTTGAATATGAGGCGTAGGTTTGAAAAATCGTTTGAATTCAACGCCTTGGATTTGAATTACAATGAAAGGCTCAGATTGACCGAGATTCGATCTGACGGCTGGGGTTCATCCTGGACATCTATAA